TTAACTACTGTTTGCATACAAAGTATTGAGTATATTTGAGTATGCTAAAAGAAAAAATTGATATATAAAACCTCCTCCTCATGTTAGAGCCCAAATACCACACTTTTTTGAAAAAAAAAAAATAAAAAAAATAAAAAAGAAAAGGCAACCTGCTTTACTTTACATAGTTGGATTCTCATTTAAGTGACCCGCAGAATTGCTGTTTTGGGGTAGTAGGTTATGTAAATTAAGTCTGAATTTGCTTCAATCCTTTGTAAGTGGCATCAAGTTTTATTACACTTTGGAAATCTGTCTGGTTTTCATATGATTTAATACTTTATGCCTTCCTGTTTATTGAAATTTAATCCAAACAAAATTTGGGTAAACATTTCTTCATCTGTGAAAAGACTCAAAGCTCTGGAGTCATACTCTTTCTGAGAAATTTATTAAAATTACTACAACATTTTTATCATCTTAGAGGTATAAAAAGGATTAAATGCTGCTTGACTTCTTTTGGACTGTCTGCTGGAAACTGTTCTGCATACGTTTGTTACATGCACATTGAATTTCTGCAATTCTTTGATTGCAGCTCTGCCAGAAACATCATTCCAAAAATTGTAAAGCATCCAAAATGCAGTAGCAAAAGTGATTTCTGGCACCTGTAGGAACATTTTTCCAATCTCTGAGTCACCAAACCTTTACTCAAAGTTAATATTTTCCTTTGATTTCGGTGGGGCCATAAACTTACTTGCTCCCAAACTAACTCACTTGTGTTATATTTAACAGAATTTTGTTTGACCAAATTGCTCTTAAGATGTACAGTGCTGACTTAGAGAAACTTTTCAGTTACAATGAAAACTGTTATAAGAGGTGTCAATTAACTGATCAATTATGAATTACCAATGTAATCTACACTGCTACATCAGAATGCTCAGTTTCTTTAGGTGATGTTGAAATAAGAGATTGTGATCAGAAATTCTGCTTTTTAATGGTATTGTGTCATCTGGCTTGCTGAGTTGAAATTTAATGGAAGACAAAAACTATTCTTCTGTGAGTTTAGTCATTAGAAACAGCTACAAACATTAGATAATTTACACTGCTTAAAAGGAAGAGATGGCTACAAATACTACTTGCTATGGAATTCAATACACTATTGATTTTTAGAAATATTAAATGAGAAAGTCTTTCCAACATATTCTGGTACAAATGGTTTTGTCTGATTTTTGTAATGAATACATTGACTAAAGTCAATGGGAACTACGGGCCTTCAGTGCTGCCGAAAGTTAGGCATCTCTTTTTTTAAAGAATCAAATTATATGAGACAGGTATGACAATAGAGCATGGCTCACATAAAACCAGATCAGAAAACTACATGAAATGCAACTTTATTGTTGCCAAAGAACATTAGATCAGAAAATGCTGCTATGTTATTTTAACCAAAGTAGTCTTCCCTTTTCCTTAAGAAAAGAGGAGATTTATAAATCTGGCTACCAAAAGGAACAGGAGCTTTTCCAGCTTTATGTGTCTGAGAAGGGATATCAAGATGGATAGATACTCACAAATCTATGCTTGCTCTTGAGCAGCTGGCCTGTAATCCAAAACCACAACAAATACCTTTTCAATGTTGATGAATCATCGCTCTATATCAAACACCTAAAGTCATAAGTTTTATTACAAGTGATAGAAATATGTGACTAATTATTGAGGCTCTTCTGCTGCCTTTTGCACAGAAAACAGCATGATTTTTGAAATCCCAGACACATAAAAGCAAATGTGGCAGAACACTCCTACTTTCAAGCCAACGAGCACACAAGTTCTGGCTAGATCTTACTCAAATAATGGGACTTACCAAAACCTTCATGAAAGAATGCAAATTCTTTATAGTATTGTTCCTCATTCTTTCCTGTTTCAAGTCTCTCCTGACCCACAAAATTGTCATACATCATTAGGTTAGGAAATCAGTTGTGCCAATTATTAGTCTCATGACAGTAGGTTTTTCAGTTGCTAAGATTATGTGTTTACCTGAGAATCTTGTAGCTCATTTAAAAAGCATGGTTCTGATTCTGGCCATTAGAGTTTCAGTGAAAAGCAAGAAAACAAGAATTCCGGGAACTCAAAGGGCAAAACAGAAACAAAAAGGAAGAATAAATAAAATAAATGCATATTTGTGGTTAGGAAGATCTCATGAAATTTAAGTCCGTCTCTTGATTTTTTTGGTTCAGATTCATCTGTTTTTCATGTTACAGCAAATCAGGGGTAAGACACCCACATGTCTCCCTTTGCAGCTGTGCAACTTGTGTTCACTAGTTCCCCTCCATCTTTTTTAAAGCAGCTTGGGTTAGGCTATATTTGAAACCTTGCAGTGTTGCTGTGGAATGACCAGCAAATGTCACTATAGACTGAAGCAAAATTTGTGCCTCTGCCTTGGAACTAAATATGAAAATGTTTGAAACCTTGAGGAGGACAGAAAACTGGCAGAACAGGTTACAAAATGGCATTGCAGACTGGCTGCAAAACATTGTATAGAGATTACTGGGCCAACTGAAGCATGTAATATAGTTACCCCCAAACCAAGAAATACTGGAGTATTGCTGAGTTACTGGAGTATAAACTGAGTTATGACTGTAACTAATGATATTCTACTAATTCTAACATCTAAATATGCTAATAATAATGGGAAAAAAATCATTTAAACATTTTCAGCAGGATTTGAACTTCAAACAGAAACAAGAGACATTGATTAGCACAAGGATGCAGACTGTCTGCATTACATATTAAAATTGACTATACTGAGAAGTAATCTAGAGGAAAGAAGGAAAAGCAGCCCTGCGGTTAGAACCAAAGACTAGGGTCAGAGCAGCTGACTTCTTCCCTAGAACGACCATTAGTTTTCTGAAAGCCTGAAAAAATCACTTAATCTCCTTGCGTTTTATTTTTCCCATTTATAAGAAGGTGGTGATAATTCCTACCTTTAAGGTTTAATGGAGTTTAGTTCATCAATGTTTGTACAGCAAGTACAGATACTTGGCAGCAGAGTACTGTAGAAATATTTGATATTACTATTATACAGGAATATCTCAAAAGAAAAGCAATGCAACAGCACATTCTTTAATAAAGAGAACTCTCAAATTAATATGCATGATTTTTTTTAAGTAAAAGGAAAAAAGTCAAAATAATTTCCTATTAGCTGATTTAACAACACCTCTTTCCACCAGAGTGTTGTCATCTTGGGTCCCAACTACATGTGAACAATACATTCAACTCATCCTCTAAGTGCAAAATGAAATAAAAGCACTCAGAAAATAAAATAACTGTTTTTCCTAAGGCATAAGTGTAATTAAAAACATAAGATTATAAATGAAAATCAACAGCACTGTTGAGTTTATTTTATAAAAAATGATTCTCTGTGCACAATGGCTATATGTATAATTGGGATAGTGCTGTACAATAAAGTTCCATTAAGTAACAATGATTCACTTACCATAGTGAAAGCAGTAATAAGGTTAAACTCTTAAGTTAAGTGGAAAGTAAGTCAGTCTAAACCCCAGCAGGTTTTGTACTAGTGGCATCGCTAATGTTTTTGAAAATGTTCTAAATGTTCCTTCTCAAATATATGTATTATACATTGCAGTATTGTTAATTATATCCATTTTATCTTTTATACACTTCCCCAGGAGATCAGTGAAAAATGGAAAACTTACTTATAGTGGATTTCAGATTTAATGAGACAAAGATGGTTTAATATATATGACAAAGTGATGTGCTCTAACCATGTTTGATAAGTAATTTTTTTTCTACTCTAATGGCTACCATTTTAAAAATAATTAATGTATTATTTATGTAATTAATAGATAATCAACCAAGTAATTAAATACTCTGGTTATATCACAGTATGTGTGTACTATAATACCCTGTTTAACAACTCTAGAGCTCTTGGCATGACATCATATCATATATATATTAAATATTCTGTATTAAATATTATATATATTATATATATACACATACAAATTTAATTTCAAAGATTTATGCACATTCTGAATATGTAAGTAAAATTTTTATAATAGTTATGTTCATATATACATGTTCATATACGTTACACATATATTGCTAGGTCTTTAAAAACAAGTTTGTTAGAATTCAGATTTTTAAATCCATAGTTATGCACTTATATAAATGCCATAAATTTCCACAGAAATAAGAACTATCCAGCATTTTCTATTGATAACATGGGTCCATGGCTGTTAAGTTCTTCAGCTTTATCAACATTTCCTTCATAATCACTAACATTTAAAAGTTCGCTGGTAGAACAAATAGAACCAGCATAACATTTTCCCTGACAGCAGAAGATCAAGAATCAGAAAAAAGACAAACAACATGGATGTAATAAAGAAATTTAAAGTTGTATTCAAAGAAACATGCTCAGGAACCTGAATGGAAAACCAACTTCATCTACACTGACATAACTCTCCCCCTCAATTCTCATGACTGGAAAAAGAAGTATAAAGACTGCCTAATTTGGAAGCCAGACAGTTTTCCACTGTTGTTTTCTTGAATATTTGTCTAAAAAAATATTTGATATTTGTTTGGAAGTGTTTGCAATCTGCCCTTTGAGGTGAGTATTCAATAAATTGTCCATTGCTGAGTGCTTTTGCCTTAGACACTCTGTTGTACCAGAGAAAAACATCTTTACCTCTAATACTCAACAATTACTCATGATTTGTTTCTTATTCTTTGGTCAAAGACGATTTGTAGAGTAAAGTGACCTGTAAGGATAACTCAGATGTGGGTTTACTTAAAAGTCGTAGCTATGAACAGAAGAAAATCACATAGTGCCATCAGATTTAGTTGCTAACTTAATAGTCCTGTATACTAAACTGTTCCGAATGAATTAATTAATACGTAAATGAAGGCTAAAATATGAGTGCATGAGGACATTGCATTATGCTATGTATAAGTTAAATATTTTATCCTACCATAAAGAAGAGTATCTATGAAAACTATGACTGTTTTTTTATTACCTTAAAATATTGCAGTTGTTTCTCAGCATTCATTGTTCCTTCATTTTCTTGTCTCAGACAGGAATTGAAGATGAAAAGCTCTGTATCTCTCAGCCACCCTTTCAGCTCTTTGATCCTGACCTCCAGCTGCCTTACCAGGCTGCCGCTTTCAGGCGAGAGCAGGTCACGTGGACCTAACCCACTGTGCCCTACCATTGTGTCTTGGATCTTCTCTCCTAGGGTTTTCTAATACATCAGATAAAGAAAACATAGATTAGTCTTATGCACCAAAATACATACAGGTTAATGTGCAACAAGAAGCATCTGTTAGGTGATTAGAGAGGTTTTTATTTTTAAATTACTACTAATATCAATCAATTTCACTCTTTCTTTCCTTCTTTCAATCAATTTCATATTTTGTATCTTTGTTTTTCACTAATGCCACAGTGTTGTTCTCTATGGGTCACTGGCTTTGCTGGAAGCATGATAAATCAATGCTTATTAGGAGCAACTGTGGACAGAGAAGACAAAATGCTACATAACTTTATAAAGTAGTTTCAGAACTTGTCAGCTACTTTAGATACTTATGACTATAGGACTTACGATTTCTTGGCTGTAAGAACAGAAAATACAGCAAGCTCTGAGCCCATCTGGATCTATGTTTTTAGCGTAACATTGCAGTAGTGAAATATTTCCAAGGTACAAACTGTCAGGTCAGAGTTTCCAAACTTGCAGCCCCGAAGTTATGTACAGGAACAGTTAGGTCACATAACATCTGGCTTGCTTGTAAAAGTGGATGAACTCATTCAGACACCAATAAGCTAGAAATTGCAAAGCCATCAAACCAATTATTTGGGCACCTAAATTTGGATCTAAGTTCTCCATGTTAAGCATTCACTTTAAAAATAATGGATCAAAATCAACATTCACCTCTGATCATTAATGAAACTAATTAACTATAGCTTTTCAAAGTAGCACTTCTAATAAAGGAACTGCTGAATAACATTTTGATAGCGGACACGGTGATGGTAATGAATATTCTGAAGAGGTCAGAGATAGGAAGTTACCTTCCTTTTTAATATTTTGAAAGGCAATCATTTAAACATCACAAAGGAAATATGCAGTTGCCTGCTTCTCCTATGCCTAGCAGTATTTTATCTGACCTGTAAGAGGCTGTCAGTCTGACACTTATTATAAGTAGTAGATCTGTGTTACTGATTGTAGAATACTCAATATACACTGACAATCACATCCAATAACCTTTTAAACTGATAATTAGCAGTGGTTAATTGTTGTAACATGAAGACATGGTTTTAGGTGACCCAGAATGTCTGTCTGTTGAAAATACACCCTTCATTAAGTTACTGGAATATAATCTATCATAATGAACTTAGCTTCCAAAATAAGCTTAAAAACCACAAAATTAGATCAACAGACATTAATCTACTTTGTGGCATTCTGTAAATAACATCCTTAGGAGATCATAACTGAAAAACATGTTTTCTTGGCACCACCCTTCTATTTTCATGGTGCAAATATTGATAATTTGAAGACCCTCAGTGGAATCCAGTGCTAGCTATTGTTTTCACGCTGTAACAAAAGTAGCAGCAGGAGGTGAAATCAATGCCCTTGGAGGGTAGGGTCACAAAAAAGAATTTATTGCCACTTTTTTGTTCTGGAACAGTTTGCAATCATAAATTCTTCATAAACAGAATACTTCAGAGAATGGTCCGTCTTCATAAATATACGACAGAGGACATCAATTTCATTTAATTCACAATTTGTGTCAGCACAGCAGATGCCAATGCCTGCCTTGATAGGGTTGTTTAATATGCAATTGAGACAGAGTAATATTCAGCACAGGGGACAAAATTTCACAGATTAAACTGTACGCACCACTGACATTTCATTCTAATGTATTTCCATTCCACACTGTTCACCTTAGATGAAAGTAATATTAAAAACCATATCCCTCTATTTTACCATTGTTAGAAGTTAAAATCCTTGTCTTTAATTTTTTTTCATGCCAATTAAAACATAATCATGCCAATTAAAACAGTATGCCTACCACCGTTAGTTTGTGTGAAGATTTTTATTAAACAAAACTCTATCAAACTCTGCTTATTATTAATGAAATTGCATTTAGCAGGAAAACAGGAATCCTTCTTTTTTTTTTTTTTTTCTGTAAATGCTGAAATTACTTACAAAACTTAATCCAGAGGTATATTTTAATCTTAACATGCAGAGAAGAGGGGGCTTCAATTTTTCTTAAGAAGTTTTCTTAGATTTTTTGTAATTATTATCACTTACTCATCATTTGCATCCTACCAGCTGTAATCAGTGCAACTGAATTAATCTGATTAAATACATTGAATGTCATAAATATAAGGCTAACTAAAATTATTTTAAAAGTTTAAAATAAAATACATGAATTTATGTAAAAGAACAGGTTAATAGGTCCCATTTTTATTAGCAAATTTTTTCTTCTTCAAATATTTCAAAAATGCTACATATTATAATTATAACTGGAAAATAATAAGCTCACTAGTTAGAAGACAACCTTTAACATTTTCTGACAATTTGCAGATTTAGACAATCAATCAGTTAGAAACAACTTTCACTGAACTAAACGAACTCAACCCTCTATAAAATGGCTACTGTATTACCAAATAAGCTAAAGCGACACAAGTCAGTATTTAAAATGATGCTGGCAAGTTGCATGTATAGTTTACTCATAATATATTAGAAATGGTTTTTAAGCTCAGATAATAGCATGCAAAATTATGCAATGTGACTGTATTGTTAATATCACACATCTATAATTAATCATTTAAAGTAATTTATAAATTTATCTTACCCTTGATTTGAAGTGAAGGCAATTAAGGAGAGAAGTGGATGGAAAAATATATAGTTTGACCTCTCTCTCTCTCTCAGCTGTTTTACAACAATAGGACTACAGTGTCTCCTGCATGGTGCCATCCCTGGTCTCTGGATAACAGAATCTCTATATTGCTTTTTTTGCCAGATTCTTGTATCTCACTCTTTGGCTGAGACCCAGCCCATCATAGCGTGAAATGAATTACATGAAACTTTTCTGGCTTTTGTCAAAAGTGAGCTGAATATAGCAGTATGAAACATATCCTGGCTGCATTCTAAGCTTCAGGTATTCAGATTTATACAGAATCTGCATATTTGTTTTTGAGCCATCAGAGTGACCTGAAATATGCGGTGACAACCCCACTTTTCATCTTAAGGGTATAGTAAATAGTTAAACAGTAGATGTCTCTAACATGTACCTTCAGAATAAATTCTATTAACATTCACTCAAGCATGACAGTCAGTGTATATCAGATATACTGCATTATAGTTGACTTGGTTCATACCCGTAATACATGGCATATTTTACTTACATTTTTATGTATTAAAGAACTAAAATTATTAAAGTCAGACAGGAGACAAGCATGGAATAAAAAAAATCAACACAAGAGGAAAATACTATGGAGTTTTTATAATAGCATGAGTAGCTTGTTTGAAATGTACGTGGTGAATTGAAAGAGAGAGATATTTGTGCCTCAAATTAGAAATCAGGCAGACAGCGTACTTCAACACACAAAAATGTACACATAACCCACAAACAGTAATAAAAATGCAAATACCCCGAGCAGTTCCCATTTTTCATTAATTGAATCCACTTTTTCAAGGAGATCATTTGGTAGTAAAACACCACTTTTCTTCAGAGCTTCAACCTTACTGAGCAGTTCCATCTTTTTCGGTTGCCTGATTGACATTTCTACGCTGTATCTCTAAAAAGAAAAGAAATAGATAATATTAGCTACTGTGACGAGCCTTCTCTACAAAAAAAAACTTGAACTTTAATTCTAAGAGTCCAGTTGATCATGCTCACTGTACTATTTTCTTCCCTTTTTTTTTTTTTTTTTTTTTTTTAACACATAATCTTATTACATATCTGAAGAGATTTAGGTACCGATCATATTGTTTTCTGGGTGACATATAAGCACAGGCAGTTAGTGATGGATTACACTTAGTAATATCCACTTACAATATTCACGATATTCACATGTGCAGTAGCATTCACTAACACCCTCTCATCCAAAGCTTGATCTGCCTTGTCTCATTCAAGGGAGTTGGTATCTTATTTTTCAAATATGCTACTTCATCAGGTACCACTGAGTCTCTTCACTGAAAAAAGCCCATGGAAATAATTACAGATTTATGTTTTCTGTGAAGTTTATTTTTGCTCCCTCTCCATTTTGCCTTATATATGGGCTTCAAACATAGCAGCACATGAAAATGCGAGGGCTTCACCTTAGAAAAACACTTCGACGTAACTCACTTGTAACAGAATACAAGTAACTTGATTTTTATTGTGTCAACCAAGAGTGAAACGGCACACAAACGACAATGGCCAAAGTGTTAATACAGTCCTGCAACAATGCTTTATTTCCTCCGCTGTTAATTATTCTTTAAAAAAATAAAAAAGAACAGAGAAAACAGGACTAAAACCAGAAACTTTTTACAAAATCAACTTAATACAAATTTCTGAATATTTAAACTGCATGTCTAAATATGTGATATATACTCTATTAAAATGTATTCTAATCTGGAGATGCACAGGGAAATACATCTCTTTAAGAAAATTTTATTCTCTGAAAACCTGAGTTAAGTGTTCAGTGTGACAGCTACTACACTGATCAATTAGTAGCTGGTACTTTGGGTTTAAAAAAAAACAAAATTTAAACATAGACATATACTCATATACATGCCATACGTATAGGTAATCTAATTCACTCTCTGTCTTACATACAAACTACTTATAGAAATAGGAGTAGTCAAAATCACACCTTTTAGTGGTAAAGGAGAGTTCAAAATGTATTCTTAAAGGAGTTTATGAGACATTCATAAATTATGCAGAGTTATTAGCAAATTACATCCCAAACATTAAGCTTCTTTGCTTTATTTTCAGCCATGAAAACTGGTACAGCAGCTCACACTGCAAATGCTAGTAACTGAGCCAAGTATAAAAATTAAATATGAATAAGGAATGTTTAAAACATGGGTGCCTTTTCCAGATGTAGGGAGATATTCTGTAGGAAAACAAAGCAAAAATACAATTGGAGACAGCTTAAAGAAAATAATAAAGGTGTGAAATCACTGTTTCAGCTAACAGGTCCTCAGCATTTCCATGCATATGTTTGCATATTGTTAGTTTCATATTTTAATCTTTCATTTGCACAACACATGCACATCATTTGTATTATGTAAACTTCAGCAAATATTAGTCGTTTGTGGATCACAGAGCAAATGTTTTAAATGAGGTGATTTAAACCATTTCTCATTATTAATGAACACTGATCAGGTGTCTGTGTATCCAAAATTACATGAATATGCATAGTAAAAAACAAGGAATTGTTTGTAAAGAATTTGCCTTGTGATACAGAGTGCACTGTGACTAGTTTCAGACCTGTAAATATTAGGCATCGACCAGATTTCACACTGGCAAACTGAATTCTCAGTTCAGTTTGGCCAACATCATTCTGTTGGACTGAAATGTTCAACAAGTACTTTTCTTGGTCCCACATCTTTGCCTTTTCAGCTAGAATGGTTACTGGAGGCAATTACGATCTTCTTCATGCAATCTGATTTCTATTTAAAAATGATATAACTGAAAAGGATTTGCATAATTATTTCTATGAGTACATGTAATATCAAGGGGAATCCAGAGTCCAATTTGCTAGGCACTGAAATCCAGTTCATGCTACTCCCTTTCTTTTGTCAAGTGGACTGAGAGAGTCCTCTAGCTGTGTGAGGCGGGTGCAGGCATAGCTGGCTAATGCCTATCACCTGTTACAGGCTGCTACAGGGTGGACTGCAGTTGGTAGTGGTCCTGGATGGCATAAGCCCAATGAAGAAAAAAAAAATACAGCGAATGTTTTGTAACTACAGTGTTTTGCTAGCAGAGAAATGTAAAATGTTTCATTTAATTTTGGGTCAGATGAAATAATGCAGTGAAGCATAATCCAAATAGAGTGATGATGTTATTAAAGGGTTATTACATTAAAAAATAAATCAGATAGATTTTATGTACAATCTCTGACTTTGTCACCATGTAACCTACTGTATAAACAAGCATGACAAGCATTGATTGACAGAAAATGCATTATACTATAACTATAATAGATGAAAATATTCAGTTCATTATTAGGTATCGGTATGTGACTGAGAGTCAGTATTGTTTCATTTCTGGATATTTAATATGCAGTACGTATTTTAAGTTAAGGGAAGAGCTTAATGTTAGGAGGTATAGTTTAAGAACTGATAGCACTACATGCTATTGCTAATGCTATTTTTTAATCCATTAAACACCTACACTCTAAGCAGTTGCATGGAAAAAATTAGCTAGCAGCTCTATCAGCGCAGCACAACGCTAGTCTGGTAGGACTTCTTAATCCTGCAGTGAGAAGATAATTTAATCTTTAGATTCATTCTTTCCTCAGCTTTAAGTGAGCAAATGCTGCTCCATTGTAACAGTCCATGGATGCTATGATATAAATCATTGTTTAATAGGCAAAAATAAGATTAAGTAAAAGTTCCGGTAGTTTTTAATATTTAATTTCTCATGACACTTCTCATGTTAAAAAGTTGGGAAAAAAATATAATGAAATAAACCCGCAAAATATTTACAGCATGATTAGCTGCACGCATGCATGGCTGGCTTTGTGCTCCTGAAGCCACTCAAAAGAAATTAAAAGTTAAAGCATTTGGGCTTTTCATTCCCCCTCTCTCAATATGATTAGTACTTCTCTAAAGAAAAACAGTAGAATTTAGCAAAAAGCAGTAACATTTATTTATGAATAAGTTTGGCAAAATATTTAAACCATGAGAAGTTGAATTCCAAAACAAAGCAAGTTAAATTTCCTTTGATAAAAATGTTTTACAAAACCTAGGCAGGCTTGATTGAGACATGTTTTTTGACACTTTAATTAAATGATGCCCTTTTTCTTTTCTTTAAAAAAATTATATAAAACATTTTTTGTTTGAAAAATCACACCCGAAAATTCTGCCCAAATGGAGACTGGAACAATGCCTTGTAACAGTGTTAATTGTCACCATGGAAACCAGAAGAATAAGCCATTTTGAAACTGGTATAGAAGGCACACATTGAGCAACTCAAGCATTTTTCAGCCTCCTTCAGTGTTAAGGAACAAGATGCCTAGTCACTGAGAGGTCAGAGAAAGAAATCATCATGAAAGGTTCGTAGATGAGCACTGTCTGGTAAGCAATAAAAAAATCTGTACACAGTTAACAACTCCGTAAGACTGCACACCACATCTTTCAGAAAGAGAAACATCACAAAAAGATGATCAGGATGAGGGTGCAGATTCCGCTTCTCAAGCAAAACTTTAGGGCAATATTATGCAAACCTTGCCCCTAAAGCTCCCTGGGAATTCTGTTGTTGTAATAAAACTTCAGAAGAGGAAAGGAAAAAAAAAAGCCTGCATGATGGAATTCAAAATAATGCTCTAAAAGCACACAGAGAGATTAAGACATCCATTGTAAGACTTTTGTATGGTGCTTCTGTTGGTTATAGTGAAAAGAGACTAGACATACTGAACACACAGTGGAGCTATGGCTACGAAGTACAGAAGAATTAAGCCAGTGAACTTTCTTCATTATTGGAATAAGGGTGTGCTATTTGTAGATGTTCTGCATTCCATCATTCACATACTAAAAAAGTGCCTTCGATCAAATGGTACTGCACCACAGACAACTGAGATCACAACTCAGTGACTTCCAGTTTAATTTTTACCTAGATTACATCTTTAAATTTTAAAACTAAGCCTTTTGGAATGATTTGGTTGAGGCAGACACAAATACACACACATGCACAGTCAGGGGTTATATATGCACACATTCAGTGGTGACACATATTCACAAAACATGGTATATACATAAAGTAAATACTTTGCAGGTAAATTCACCAAATACCCAATATAAATATACGTAAACATACAGCCATGCACATATAGCAATATTTGTCCATCATCTCTTCACACACATTCTCACTTTGCTTTCTGGATAATGTTTGCACTCTTCATGCTAGGCTTCATGGTGGCCCCTTAGGAAGCCCATGCCTAATGCCATTCAGTGAAGAACAAAGAGTCTTTTTATTCCAAAGTCCAGGGTCCAAAGCTCAGCTGTATACAAGCAAAGTGAAGGAATCTGCTAGAGGCCAGCCTTCCCTTCACAATAGCTCTTAATGCTTCTACCTTTTTGGTACTATCAGTGTGAAACATTTTAGAAACCATCCAGAAGCTTGGTTATATTTCTTATGTTGTCAATAGTACTAGAACCTCTGGACAACAATCAAGATCTCAGCTGAATGCTTTGTCTAGATAAATAGCAGTTGCTGTTTCTTGCAAACTTCATGTATTTCACTATTAGCAATACATGGTAAATAATTGCACAGGGAAATCATAGAGACTCCTACAATTGTCCTTGTAAATTAATAATAGGCTTTCCTGATTGGGATAAATTTGTTGCTGAGCCTTTGGAAAAATTAAAAAGTGCAATGTCATTTAAAATTGCCAGAACTCACACAGCAAATTACATCTGAGGTTAAGAATCAGTTTTTCCTCTCCTAGTTTATTCCATTTGCATGATCTGAAAATCATATTACATTGGCTATGTATTGTTAATTGGACATAGATTGCATTATCTTTAATATAAATCAAACTACAAATACTAAAATGAATTGCAAATTCTTTAATAGAAGATCATAAAA